AAGAATTTAAGACGTTTCCATAAGTTTTGAAGGTATGGATAAGTTCTAAAAATCCGGTTCTCCTTATCCGGGTCATTAACTCCATATGGTCCAAGAAAGCTGGCACACTACCTTTAATGTTCCACAACGTTTCCGGAGCACCGTACCCAAACTCAGTTCATGTTACAAGAAAAAACAGTAATAATGCCTCCTAATTTTGAATGAAATATAGGTATGAGTAATTTGATTTGGAAAGCAACAAATTTCCGCACATCATTTTAGCAAAATTACTATTTTCTTCAGCCATCAGGTTACACAAAACTATAGTAAACTTTATGATCTAGTTTACACAAAACCAAAGCCCCGATTTTAACAAATGTAGATAAAATTTAAACAATTTTAAAAAATGTATCGTGGAGAAAATGAAAAGTGTAGATTTGTAAAGCCGGGATATTTCAATTTCACGGATTAGGCACTTAAAGAAATATCTTCACCTTTCTTTGAGCCACCAGCCTTCACCCAAGTTTTACACGAATGTAGTGAAGCAGACAATGTGGCAACTCAAAATTGTGATGGTTTGAGATAATTATGACGGTAAAAGAAAAAGCAACACAAGGTTCCTTACCCTCGTTTTTTTTTCACATTGGTTCAGATGAGGCTTCAACTGTTGCCGACCTGAGGAGCTATAGGGACTTGAGCTTTCCAAAACTCAATTTCTAATGGCACTGAGCAGTGTTTGGCTTTCACACGAATGCGATAGTAAGTTATATGAAGTTGACAAAGCAAGCAAAGCAAAGCATGATGCCCCGCGCGTCCGCCCGCGACCACGCCCCGCGTCCGACTCCCGACCGCCGCGTGACCCGAGGCGCCCGGCGGTCACGTGACCTACCGGCCGGGACTGCAAACGGCCTTCACCACCATTCTTGTATGACGTCATATCCTACTGAGGTGCTGATTGGTCGGAATTAGATACCTGAAGGTAATTATCTGCCGTAGTTATTTTTGTTTCATTGTTTTGCGTGTTTTCTTATATGAAATGTAATTAAAAAATTTGTCATATTTTAATCACCATTAAAACATAACTGAATAGGCATAAAAGAGAACTCGATATATACTTTCCTTGTTTTTAAGAATTCCGGAATTAGATACCCGAGGGAGCAAAGTTGCCACGCTGATTTAATACCTCATAGTCGAAAGGTGGGCTACTAGAACTAAAAATTGCTGTGTTTGTAAATAAATAAGTGATTTGAGGGCAAAAAATTCCCGGATTTAAACTTCTAAAATTATTTTGAACATAAAATATTTCAGTTTGAGGAATGTTAAGGCCTCTAAGGGTAGGTACTTTTTAGGTATCAAATAAGTTCCTCTGCGAAAGTTCCGTCGTGAAAACGGCCACTATGCCAAAAGTGAATATGTACGCCGCCGTAATGGAATATATTCACTTGGTGAAATCGGGCCCAGGCGGTAGGAGGGCGCATTTCCTCCCCCCCTTTAGTTTTTTCGATGTATCTCGAGAACCGCTGCGCCGATCGTCACCAAACTTTCAGTACCCTCCCGTGAATAGCTATTGCACCTTGTGACCAATTTTTTTCCAAAGGCTATGATGGATCGGACGCTAATGACGTCAGAGTGACGTCATTTCTGCCATTTTCGACCCAAAAAGAGGTTTCGCGAGAAGATCTGTCAGGCCTACAGCTACCCAAACCTGACAGTGACTGGAGGTCACTGGAGGTCACTGGAGGGACCCCAATGTAGCTATTTCAACTCTAAACTAATGTAAAGGTGGGATGGTCACATTAAAAGAATTATCCCTCGCCCGTATTGGTGTTTTTCCAGCCGCGAACGTATAAGGAGGGGGGGGGTCCGTTGGAACCCCTTGCCGTTTCGCCCCTGATCGAGCTAGAGCTTCGCGAAAAAAACGAGCGTGTTGCCCGTGACGAGAGAGAGGAAGCCGATGATATCCAATCCTAGGTCATCGGTTGACTTTCCAGGTCAGGTCAATGGCCCAAAAGTCGGGAAAATCTGGACCTGTTAGAAAGTCGTAAAGCGTGGCTGCTATGGGGTTTTTCGGGGTGCTGATCACGAATATCATGTTAGTTTTGATCACAGATAATGTCTTCATGCATTTAGGCCAGGTCGGGTCAGGTCAGGTCAGGTCAACCAGTAAGGGTATTCATAGTAGGTTGCAACCGCCTCTGACAGCTTCGAAACATGTTACGAAGGTGCCAAAACTACTTCGTACATGTTCATATGGTTGCTAAATTCAAATTCAGCTCCAAAAACTGACCTAGAAACATGTAAAGCTCGAAAAAGTGAACCGAGGTCATCAAAGGTCAATGACTTGACCTGACCTTCCGGTGACCTTGACACCCACCCTAATGCATGGGAGCAGCATCGTATCCCATGTTTGAACGCTTAAAACCACGAAAAGACTGCAAACGCGCGGCTAATGCGAGCCGACATACGCCGAATCGCGATTCCGGCCAAACATGGTCTTGAAAAGTAGGTCACAGGTCAAAGGTTATTAGGGTCAGGGCCATGAAAATTTCAGAGTAGGTGTAAAACAGATAAACGCGAGGGTACTGAAAGTTTCGTCGCGATCGCCCGCTTTTTCCGCGAGTTATTTGCGAAAAACCGAGGAGGGGGTCCGTTTGACCCCCCCCCCCTATACGGGCGAGGGTTTTGGCTTCTGCGTGGGGTTCTCAGTGCTTTCCGATAAACAATTTCGGGAAATTGTACGCACCTTAGCCTTTAGGTACAATGTGAGAAAAACATTTCATGCTCTTCAACTTGAAATGACAATGGTGCAGTTACATCCATTCCACACTTATTATCCAGTGGGTGCAGCCAATATATTCTGCAGCCCACAATAATCTTAACCCGCGCCCTAGTGGCGGTCTCCGCCAACTTCGCCCTAGAGGGGGGGGACATATGTTACCACCCGCCTCTAACTAAAAAAACTAAGAGGGATAGAGAGACGCCGTAAAAAGCAGTCGATAGCTCTCAATGCGCACGTCTGAAAGTATTTCGGTCATTTTTCATCTTAGAGGAATATTGGGGTCACTGGAGGTCATCAAAGGTCAAAATTTGCCAAATGTCATTATATTTTTCAGAAAACATGCATTTATCTCTGGAACTATGATATCTAGAAAAACGCACGGAGAAGTAATCGATAGCTTTTGAACTCTTCTTTTGATAAGGTCATATTTAAATTGACTTTAGGTCAACGGTTTAGCCTCCAGAGTCCAGAGGGCAAAAACTCCAAACTTAGCTGTTTTTACGAAAAGTGTTTTTCGACAGTAACTTTTGACTTAAACAAGCCACAACATTTATATTGCCAGAACCGTGTTCCTCTCGCCGAGACGCGTCGAATGAACTATAAGTTGACCGTAAAACGTCAACTTGAAAATTTGACCTAAGGTCAAGAACTTGACCTGACCGGGAAATGTCATGTCGCATATCAGTCGATGCGTCTCGACAAGACAAACACAATGAAGTCATCGCCAGCGTCCTATCTCTTTCCAATCGAGAGTTATTGGCAAAGTCTGTTTGTAGCCTCAAATGACCTCGGATGACCTTTCTAGAGGCTATCAGCAAAAAAGACACCTTGGTCGTCACGGGTGGTCCAAATCATTGTGATTCTGAGATATTTGGACTGTTCCTATGCGTACACACGGATCTAGAGGCATTTTCATTTTTTTCCCTTGACATATAATGGTAAGGTCACGCCACTGGCCTGACCTTAGGTCACGGATATAAAAAAAATCCGAGATATACAAATTATAGGCGCCCATATCATCATGCAATGTTGCGTGAATTATTGACATTATCAATGCATCAAAACGCAATTGTGGTGACGTAGCCCTCTGCCCTCTGAACTTTGTGCAGTAGACTTGGTGGCGCTGAGCTCGTGGAGCTTGCGGGCACGGTGCGGCCGTGCAGCAGTCGGGCAGCGGCCCCCGCCGGACACTGATCACCAATACAGCTGGACTACCTTATTTAGAACGCTGTGTGAGAGCAAGTGTGCCAAAAATGGCAGCGCGGAGCACCGCCTTTTTTAGATATCTGCGAAAAACCGCAGGGAAGGGGGTGTTCAAACACCCCCCCCCCCGGCCCGGTACGGATTAAAAAAATGTCTTGTTACTTTTCACTGAGGAGAGGTTAGCTACGCCTTATTCGTCATTACCATTTTTATCCGACATTTCTCAACCTCTATGAATTACTATTGTGTCGAACGATACACATGCAGGGCTCCTATTCTGACTATTCTTCTGACTCCAAAACCATTCATTGAAAAGTTACTATGATAGCAGCAATAGCTTCATCATGAATTGTGGTATCCGGTGATATGCTATTTACTCATATATCTCCTCGAAACTGCCGTTAAATCTACATTGAAAACCGGACATATCTTTCAGTACCAAAGCCCAATTTCAGGAACCGGAGCGTGGGTCTCCTTTCGGCAGGGATATAAGTCCTCAAATGGCAAAGTTGCTAAACATACGGCTCTATCCGATAACTCAAGGTAATTTCCTACCCAGCGATAGGTACCAAATACCAGTTTATCGAAAGTCGGGCTTTTGATTAAATTCGCGCTAATCTGGTGTTCGGTAAGACCGTGCAGTGGTGGGAGCGCGCTCCAGCCCGAGCCCCCTGCCCCTGCCCCTGCCCCAGAGCGGCAGGAGAGAGCCGTCCCCCCCCCCGTCCCCCGGAGGCGCCGGTGCAGCCGGCCGGCCGGCCGGGTCAGTGGCGGTGATCTCACCGTCTCGTCACCGCGTGGCGCGCCGGCCACCGCGCCGGCGAGTATACAGCGGCACCCTCCCCCTGCCGGCGGGCGGGCACACAGCCCGGGCACCCCTCCCCCGCCTCCGCCGGCTGACCCCAGAGGTCACCGCCTCCCGGCGGCTGGGACGGGCGGGGCGGGACGGTGTCGGGCCGGGCCGGAACAGGTGGCTGCCGGCGCGGGGCGGGGCGGGACGGCCAGGGTGGGGAGTTTATTTTCGCCAGCGCCGCCGCGCCGAGATCAGGGAGGCCGTCCGGCCGGTCAGAGCCGCCAGTCGGCCGGCGACCGGCGACCCGGCCGCGCCCCAGGCGCCCTCACCTCGACAGAGGCGCAGTGGAGGGTCACCGGACTGGTCGGCAGAGGCGCAGTGGAGGGTCACCGGACTGGTCGGCAGAGGCGCAGTGAGGGGCCACGTGACCGAGCTACCGGGAGTCGGTGGCATGTTCCGTGACTTATCTGTGACAATTCAGCCAATGGTCACGTAATAGTTCCGGCGCCTGTGACTCTATGGGCGTCGCGGGACGCACTCACGGCTCTGTGGCCGTGCTCCTGACCTGCCTCTCAGTGGTGACCACGTGACCGGACTCGGCCTCTCCGTGGTGACCACGTGACCGGACTCGGCCTCTCAGTGGTGACCACGTGACCGGACTCGGCCTCTCCGTGGTGACCACGTGACCGGACTCGGCCTCTCAGTGGTGACCACGTGACCGGACTCGGCCTCTCAGTGGTGACTACGTGACCGGACTCGGCCTCTCAGTGGTGACCACGTGACCAGGTAGACGCCTAGCCTCTACTGTGCCGGCGCCAGCCTATAACGAGTTACCGAGCCGACCGGCGTCTGGGTGAGGGCCTCCCGAGACGGCGAGCCGACACGGACAGCTTCAGTACGTCACCTGTGTGAATCGCCGTCCGACACGAACAGCTTCAGTACGTCAGCTGTGTGAATCGCCGTCCGACACGAACAGCTTCAGTACGTCAGCCGTGTGAATCGCCGGCCGACACGGACAGCTTCAGTACGTCACCTGTGTGAATCGCCGTCCGGCACGGACAGCTTCAGTACGTCACCTGTGTGAATCGCCGTCCGACACGAACAGCTTCAGTACGTCAGCCGTGTGAATCGCCGGCCGACACGGACAGCTTCAGTACGTCACCTGTGTGAATCGCCGTCCAGCGGCTCCTGGGGTCGCCTGGTGCCTGGGCACTCCCTCGGGTCAGTGCAGGGCGCCCGCCGAGTATACCTGAGCGGCCACCCGCAGCTCAGGCTGTCACGGTGCTCTGTGTTCGGAGGGGAACTGAGGGACCGTCCTTGGTGTCCGAGTCTCCGCAGAGAACCCGCAGGGAACGGTGCTCCGCGGCTCTGCAGCCAACTGCAGCTTGTGGCTGCCAGTGAGCACCTAGTCTGGTGGCGAGGACGTTCCATCAACTGCACACAGAACTCTGTGACCTTCAATAAGACGCCGTTTGTGACACCCTGTGAGAGCCCTGAGTGGTATCCAGCGCAGCCAGACGAGCCATTGGTCTCCGAAGCCATGGGCTGTTGTGCGTCCAAAAACCATCCGCTCAGCGGCCACCTGGCCAAGTCGGACTACAGACTCCGTGAGTATCAATCAGTCGGACTACAGACTCCGTGAGTATCAATCAGTCGGACTACAGACTCCGTGAGTATCAATCAGTCGGACTACAGACTCCGTGAGTATCAATCAGTCGCACTACAGACTCCGTGAGTATCAATCAGTCGGACTACAGACTCCGTGAGTATCAATCAGTCGGACTACAGACTCCGTGAGTATCAATCAGTCGGACTACAGACTCCGTGAGTATCAATCAGTCGGACTACAGACTCCGTGAGTATCAATCAGTCGGACTACAGACTCCGTGAGTATCAATCAGTCGGACTACAGACTCCGTGAGTATCAATCAGTCGGACTACAGACTCCGTGAGTATCAACCAGTCGGACTACAGACTCCGTGAGTATCAATCAGTCGGACTACAGACTCCGTGAGTATCAATCAGTCGGACTACAGACTCCGTGAGTATCAATCAGTCGGACTACAGACTCCGTGAGTATCAATCAGTCAGACTACAGACTCCGTGAGTATCAATCAGTCGGACTACAGACTCCGTGAGTATCAATCAGTCGGACTACAGACTTCGTGAGTATCAATCAGTCGGACTACAGACTCCGTGAGTATCAATCAGTCGGACTATACAGACTCCGTGAGTATCAATCAGTCGGACTACAGACTCCGTGAGTATCAATCAGCCGGACTACAGACTCCGTGAGTATCAATCAGTCGGACTACAGACTCCGTGAGTATCAATCAGTCGGACTACAGACTCCGTGAGTATCAATCAGTCGGACTACAGACTCCGTGAGTATCAATCAGTCGGACTACAGACTCCGTGAGTATCAATCAGTCGGACTACAGACTCCGTGAGTATCAATCAGTCGGACTACAGACTCCGTGAGTATCAATCAGTCGGACTACAGACTCCGTGAGTATCAATCAGTCGGACTACAGACTCCGTGAGTATCAATCAATCGGACTACAGACTCCGTGAGTATCAATCAGCCGGAATATAGGTCGGATACACCACTGGCCATAGCGGGGAGATTTATGGCCACCTTTCATGTTTTTGGGTTTGTAGAGTAACCGGTTTCGCTGTCGCTAAAACTAAGAATTTCCCATACTACATCGACTATTCGTAAGTTTAATTGAAGGCCAAGGAATTTGTGATCGTGTTGTCCCTATTAGTGGCAGGCCCCTGGCTACCCCTTTAGTGGCATGGGGACCGTAAAGGACCCCCTACCCACCCCACCCCACCCCCTCAAGATTATCTCAAAATTAAGTCGGCTGATTTTCAAAACTGAAACGGCATTCGATTTCACTCAACGTGATCTACATTTCTAAAATATAAAATTTTAAAAAAAACGAATAAGGAGGTGGCAGTACGGATAAAACTGTAAATGGTATATTTTTTACTGCTTACCACGGCCACGTTTTTTTTTTTAACCAATTTTGACGCAACTTCTGCCGATTGATGAAAAATCATAAAATGAACCAGAAATTTACATGTATCATATCAATGAACATTTCAAAAATCTTACCCGGATATAAGTAATTGAACTTGGCAGGTACAAGTAATTGAACTTGGCAGGTGGCATGTACACAAAATGCACAATATTTTTTTTTTTTTTTGCTCTCACTTAAACGGAGTGGCAATGGACTTATTATTTTACAGTAACGTGTGATAACACAAATAAAACTTTGATACATAAAGGTCATTGCTGGCCGGTGTCAAGGCACTGAGGTTGGGAAGTTGGGAGACGGGGGGTGGGTGAAATCGACCACCCTTTCTTTTTTCTGGTACCGCCTATGATCCATCTCTGCGTTTGGATCATAGGCGGTATTACTTGTGAATATGTAACACCTACAAATTATGTTCACTTCAATCGCTATTACATTTGTTTTCCCATACATGCAACATTGCACGTTTAAAGCGAGAAAGCCAGGCATTAAAATGGCACGTGCATTATACTGCACTTTTGAAACATGCAAGAAGTCAATGCTGCCATAGAGATCTTATATACATAGAGATGACATGCACTTAAAATCGTGGCGATTCAGTGGGTCTTTTTAAGCAACTTATTTTCAGCCAGTAGCGTGCCAATATGGCTGAGGCATTGTTAGTCTGAAGAAATTAATACGTAGCGAGCGAAGCAAGCGTAGTCTTTCGTAGATTAACGGAAATTTCTGAGTATGAGCGGCCGGCCGGCCGTGGTTACGCTTTTGCGAGGCTTATATCTCAGCAACCACTCGACCGATTTACATTCGATGATTTTTCTAGGGTAGCTTCATTCCTTCTACCAAGTATTGGACTATTCTCGATGCATGTGGGTGACCGCTTATGCACGTGCCACGTGCAAAACGAAGAGGTGTCAGTTTTCCAATTGTTGCAATATCTTGGTAACTACTTGGCCGATTGCGCTGAAAGTTGGTATGTAGGTAGACACCCACTAGGCAATGCATATCCATGTGCCACAGTTATTCCCTCATCAATTTTACACATGGTGTGCAAGTTTGAACCTCCTACCTTTTAAAGGTAGACTGCCACCTTTTTTCCACAAAACGGTTTTCACTAGAGCTGAGCCACCTATGTCCCAGACTGAAGTCGGTTTTCCGAAATTCGAACCCGTTTGCGAGAAATCGGAGACCAAAGTTCAGTTTGATGCCATTTTTTTAGTCCAAGAAAACCGACATCTCTACTGTTTATCGATAACTTTGAAACATGAATTTTCTTATCTTTTGGTAAATATATGTCAAAACTTTGATTGTTTCGAGATCAGAGAAGAATTTTGGAGTGTCAAAATAAAAGTTAAACCTATATATTCAGTAGTTCATTTTTTCCAAAAAAGTGTGGGAAATGGGGTTTAACATGGGCCAGACCCATTCCAAATGAGCCATGATTTTTAAATGTTTTACGAACTTAAATGCAAAATAAATTAAACATGGCCAATTTCTTATGAAATCATATATTAGTAAATCATAAAATACCTTACTTTTTCAAATGAAATGTAATAATCTTATGACCTTGAAGTCTAGTGATGTGTAAACATTGTCGCTAGACATTAACCCGCGCACCGACGGGGGTCTGCGCCAACTTAGTACCGACGGGGGGGGGGGCGGATGACCGCCCCCCCCCCTGAGATCTCGAGAACGAAGCAAGATAGCGACAAGCGGTAAACGGCATCGGATACGCACGGTCAAGATCTACAATTTTTACTAAGGTCATTTTCAGGTCAGGTCAAAGATGACGTCACAGGGGTCGAAAAAGTCAAAATGGCGGCGCTAAATATGGAGAGAGTTTTTCTCGAATAACTTTCGAATTAGTCAAGATAGGAACAAACTAAGGGCATCATCGTGATCCTCTCGTCAATCCGCATCGAATGATATATATGTTGACCTCGAAAGGTCAAGGTCAAAGGTTGACCTCAGGTCACGTGACCTCGAGGTCATCATGTATATCATTCGATGCGTCTTGACGAGCTGAACACAATGAGACCATCCACGCGTCTGTATCTTTTTCCTGTACGGAGTTATTGGCCAAAAACCTTTGGTGACCTTTGATGACGTCACATGACCTCACAGCTGCCCAACAGCAAAACAGACCTCAAGGTAGTGAAGGTTGATCGTATATGAAGTCATGTATGGTATATGGGGCCATTCCGACCCGTTTTAGTGGTAAAAACAGGGAGTTGATTTTTCCCCCATTGACTTATAATGGGGAGGTCGCGAAATTGACCTGACCTTAGGTCACCGATATCAAAATTCCGAGATATACAAATTGTAGCTACTAATGACCTAATAACATCCTGCGACTTTCAAAGGCCTCCGACATCTACTGTAGCTCTGGCACGGTGACAAAGTTGCAAAAAAGTGACTTGAGGTTGGGTCATTCAAAGTGACCTGGTGACCTGACCTTGAAAGGTAGGAGGTTCAAACTTGCACACCATGTGTAAAATTGATAAGGGAATAGTCTTACCAAATTTCGCGGCGCTACGCGCCGCGGTTTTCCCGCTATTCGCGAAAAACCTCAGGGGGGGCGGATATCCGCCCCCCCCGTCGGTGCGCGGGTTAACCGATTGATAATTGTATGATAATCGACAATTTTTTTCGCGATTCACGTGATGATACTTTGTCAGGTGAATTCTAAAATTTTGTTTTGTCCAGGGAATAAATCATAGGCCGATCTGAGAAAACTTTTTGAAGGTGGCAGTCTTCCTTTAAGGTCAGGTCACCAGGTCACTTTGAATGACCCAACCTCAAGTCACTTTTTTGCAACTTTGTCACCGTGCCAGAGCTACAGTAGATGTCGGAGGCCTTTGAAAGTCGCAGGATATTATTAGATCATTAGTAGCTACAATTTGTATATCTCGGAATTTTGATATCGGTGACCTAAGGTCAGGTCAATTTCGCGACCTCCCCATTATAAGTCAATGGGGGAAAAATCAACTCCCTGTTTTTACCACTAAAACGGGTCGGAATGGCCCCATATACCATACATGACTTCATATACGATCAACCTTCACTACCTTGAGGTCTGTTTTGCTGTTGGGCAGCTGTGAGGTCATGTGACGTCATCAAAGGTCACCAAAGGTTTTTGGCCAATAACTCCGTACAGGAACCAGATACAGACGCGTGGATTGTCTCATTGGGTTCAGCTCGTCAAGACGCATCGAATGATATACATGATGACCTCGAGGTCACGTGACCTGAGGTCAACCTTTGACCTTGACCTTTCGAGGTCAACATATATAGGGTAGTGTGGGGTAATTTGAACATATTTTTACGTCTTCTCCGTTGTACCAAATTCCAGCTCAACCCTGGATGAAGAAAAACTGTTTCAGTAGCGCATGTGTCACTTGCTTTCACCATGCAAGCCTCATTTTTGGACGAGCCGAGCATACCTTGAATAGCATTGCATCACTTCTCCACCAAGTCACGGTGTGTTCAAATTGCCCCACCGTGGGGTAATTTGAACATACTGCCTTTACCTGCCATAAAAACGATAGTCTCGCCAGCACCGATGTTGT